ATATCAACTGCTCATGTGGACATGTTGAAAGCCTAACAGGTAACAGAGAAAAGGCAGAACTACTTGGCTCAGTTTTCTCTGGGAAGGTGATACGATAGATGCTCCCCTTGGCAATTGTTAAGAGCAGGTTGAAGGAACAGGACACTGCTCAGGCTTGATAGAAATGTAGTCAGGAGATCATTATTGACCTTGCACTAGTTCAAATCTCCAAGGGCAGATGAGTACTGAGGGAACTTGTGAATGGTCTAACAACTAAACCTCTGCCACTGTCTTTGAGAAATCTAGAGTACAGGAGAAGCACAAGATTACTAAAGGTTAGCACATGTCCCTATTTTCAAAAAGCAGAGAAAGGATGTTGGTCTGACATCACTACTTGGGGGAGAATCCAGAGCAGAACATTGAGTGACTGATCTGACAGCACTTTGAAAATAATGCCACAATTACTAACATTAATGTAGATTTGCAAATTGTATTTAACTTTTGTTGTCCTTAGTAGATAGTGGGGACAGTTGAAATTGTAAAGTATCTTAACCTAAGCAAAGTACCCTACCATCATCTGATCAGCAAATTATATAGTCTGGATGGATGTCTGTGGGGGTATCACAATGTCCTAAAATTCTAATCAATGTTTCCTCAATGAATTTGGAGTGGGGTATCAGGCAGGGTGCCCCAGTGTTTGGTCCTGGTTTTGGTCTTCTTCAGTATTTTCATTAATGAGTTAGATAAAGGAAAGGTAATGCTCATCAAATCTGCAGATGGTGCAAAACTGGGCAGAATAGTTAATATTCTAAAATATAGAAATAACATTCAAAATTATCTTGATAAAGTAGAGCAGTGGGACAAGAATAACAGAATGAAGCTTAATTGAAACAAATGAGAAGTTCTTGATTATGGAAAAAGAAATCAAATGCAAACGTTGAGGATACCAGATTTGGAAATGGGACAGGTGAAAACAATCTTAGAATAGTCATTGATCACAACCTGAGCATGAGTCAGCAGTGTGACATGGCCACTAATGCAAATGTAATTTGGGGCAACTTCAAAAGAATGACAGTTTTCATATCATGAAATCTAGTATTTCCACTCTTGATTGGACCCAGCTACCTTCTGTAAAATTTCCAGGAAGATCTGCCTGTGAAAGGACTGGGTTGATGAAATGCATGTTGGATCCAGCCTCTGAATCAGTGTAAGGCTACTTCACAGGTTTCCTAGAACCGCTGTGATCCTTCTGCAGGAAACGTATGTGCTTCTTGCATGCATGGCTACTAATAGAAATATAATGAGCTTCACCAGGCTTCTCCCAGTCACTGTCCTGAACTCTCCCTACTAGACTTTGACAGAAGAGGACTGACATCCTGACAGTGAGAAGCGAAGGAGGGAAAGAAAGCAAGGAGACAGGAAAGCTGTTCAGAAGAGAAGCCAGAAAGACACCATGCTTTGAACTGAATGCAGTTCTCAGATAACCTTGACTCACAAATAATGTCTTGTTACTTGGGCCCCCTTTTGTACACTGCCCAGACTCACATGGTCTGAATTGGGCAGTCTATAATGGCTTTAATAAAATAAAAATAAATTGAATCGCAAAGCGCCTAGGAATACTTATCTCTGCTAGGTAAAGCTGCAGGAAACCTACTCTTCCAACAGTAATGATGGCGCAACATCAGGATGCAACCACAGGTTGAAAACCTGTTGCTTAAGAGGGAACTTTTGGTAGTCCTTGTTTGTGCTCATCCTAATAGCCATCTCACAGGGTTATTTCGGGGTTAAAATAAAGAAATGAATTGGTTGGGGTGGAATCCCGTCTGCACAAACCTAAGCATGGTATGTAACAAGACAGCACGTTTCTAGCAAACACTTACAACTCAAAGCCAGTGTCTTGGAAATTCCTCAAACTGTGTCAAAGCAGAACCATGATGCCAAAGAACAGCAAGAAACAGATCCATTAAGAAGTTCTGAGATCCCATCACGTCCACCTACAAAGGACAACTGCCCACAGCCTCTCTCGGAGACCCTCCCTCATTGGGGCTATTCTGATTCCCACTGGTTCTGCCACAACACTGAAAAGTGAAAATGCAACAGGATTGCTGTCTTCAGAGAAAGCATCTATGGGGGAATCCACTGTTTTCCACTTCAAGACCTTGTCACAGCACCCAGGGGTCTGTGGAGGGCATGTTATTAAAGCTTTAAAAAAATCCCCCAAATGAATCTTTGTTGTTGATGAGTGGTGTGAGTTCTCCAGTTTTAATTTAGAGTAATTGTGTATGCCAGCTATCAGAGCTTTGGGAAATAAAAAATAGATTATTGGTGGTTGGTATTTTTAGCTCTTTAACATAGCCCACTAGAAAACCTTCTGCACTCCATAAGCTTGTCAGCATTTTCAAATCAAACCCCAAAGATGGTTCTTTTTGCTTCATCGCCTACTCAAGCACATCAGAAAAAAAAAACACATTGGATTTTTTTTGCCAGGGTAATGCCTCCTCCGCACCCTTTGGACAGAAATGTCATGACTAGAGAGTAGGAAGTGAGCAGCTTTGATGTAGGTTTAAGCATCTTTGGTAAAGGAAGGAGAAAAATCTTTCCTTGTTCCCTACTATGAAATGTAGCGGTCCCTGGAGAAACAGGTTGTTATCACCATCATTCCACATACAGCGGGGCAAAAAAGTATTTAGTCAGCCACCAATTGTGCAAGTTCTCCCACTTAAAAAGATGAGAGAGGCCTGTAATTTTCATCATAGGTATACCTCAACTATGAGAGACAAAATGGGCAACTATGAGAGACAAAATGGGCAACTATGAGAGACAAAATGGGCAACTATGAGAGACAAAATGGGCAACTATGAGAGACAAAATGGGCAACTATGAGAGACAAAATGGGCAACTATGAGAGACAAAATGGGCAACTATGAGAGACAAAATGGGCAACTATGAGAGACAAAATGGGCAACTATGAGAGACAAAATGGGCAACTATGAGAGACAAAATGGGCAACTATGAGAGACAAAATGGGCAACTATGAGAGACAAAATGGGCAACTATGAGAGACAAAATGGGGGGAAAAATCCAGAAAATCACTCTAATCTTTTTAAGTGGGAGAACTTGCACAATTGGTGGCTGACTAAATACTTTTTTGCCCCACTGTAATTCTAGGGCAAACACGAAGCAGATGCTACTTATCCCCTCCCAAGCTATCTGTGCCGTGTAGCTTGAGACATTCATTTCAGTGTTCTTTGCAGGAGGAGGAGGTAAAACCATCTTTTTGAAACATAGCATTAAAAGTAAAGGGTCAGTCAAGTCAGCTTTGACTCTTGGTGACTACATGAACATCTCCATGTCAGTTGCTTAGCAGCAATTGCCTTCTGACTTCTGTTTTCTTAGCAGGATTTCGGAAGTGGTTTGCCCTTGCCTCCTTCCTAGGGCTGAGAGAGGAGGACTGGCTCAAGGTCACCCAGTTGGCTTCATGTCTATGGCAGGACTAGAACTCACTTTACAATTCGAAGAGCCAGTTTGGTGTAGTACTGCAATTTCTGGTGGGTCTTCTATCCAAGTGCTAATCAGGACTGACCCTGCTTAGCATTTTTAGATCAGCCAAGGCCGGTTCAGGTGTTGCATTAAAAACTCAGCATAAAGAGAAACAAAGCAAGTGAAGGATTAACTGCATCTTCTGTCCTCAAGACTGCTGTATGATATGCACAGAGGCCAATGTGCCTGTCAACCTCCTTGATTCCATAAATGGGAATGTATTGCAAAGCAAAATGCAAGTCTTCAGTCAATTTGATTTGAGGAAATGCCTCTGGGTCTCCTGTTGGCTTGCAAGGTTTTTTTTAGAAAAGGGCAAGTGACAAGCTTGTCTGTAAAGTCCAAAAGATGATGGTAAATTAGGACAGTAGAAGACCTCAGGGGGGATTTTAAAAGTTGATGGGGAAACGTCTCTTCTATTAGCCTTCTGGAAATGGGGATTGTGTGACTGACCACATCTGGGAAGTCACCAGTTCACTAATATGCTGAAAAAGAAACACTTGGCACCATCATACTTCTCACTCCACCCAGATGTGACCCTGATAATGCAACCTTACTTTGCTTCAGTCCAATGCTAAACAGCCCCTTTTGTGGCTCCCTTTAACCTGGATAATGTAACCTACAAGAGACCACCATCTTTTGAGTGGCAGCTTCCAACTTCTGTATGCTGTCACTTCCACCATGGTCCAGAACCTTTCCCCCTTACTTCAGAAGGAAGCCACATCAATCCGGGCATAGTAAGTCATGCCTTCCAGATGTTGGCCATAATGGATTGACATTCTGGGAGTTGTTGACCCAATACACCAGGTTTGTGGCACATACAAGGATTATGATGACAAAACATCTGCAGTGTACTCTGAACATTTATTACTGATACTCATCTGCAATACAAGCTAACATTGCCATTAGAACTGCATAGTTGCAAATAAAGTCAGTCTTCCAAGCCAGATTCCAAGGAAAAAACCCTAACCCTAACCCAAGGAAAAAAGAAATCCATCGCTTCTGCAGAATGAAATAATTTATCTTAGGCTGAGTTCACATGTGGAGTTTGTAGTCCAAAATTATTGGAGGACAGTAGGGTACCATCACCCATGCTAAGAGTGCTGAGCCAGACACGGTGAGGCTGAGGTCAACTTCTCCTGCTCACTGGTTGGCTCAGGTACACCCTTAGCGAAATCCACATCACTGGGAAATTTGGACAATAAAATGGAAGTGACAAAAATCAAATTTATATCACATGACACAATGATGTAACTCATTTGGCATTGGCTCTGTTTTGGCTGAAAGCCCAGTTTGGAAACCATGACTTATGGCTCATGTGATATGAGAACTCATAAAATTGTAGTTTGTTCAACAAACCATGTCTTAACACAATGTCCGGAATCAGCTGTTAGAGTCCTGAAAAACAGCAGGATGAAAAATGCACTGAGGTGCCTCTATGTGGCATTTAAATGACATTTAAAAAATACACATGCACACATGTCTGAGACATTTCACCATACATGACCTTTATTGGTGACATCGGGGGTCATTTATTATACAGAAGTCACATCACACCATTCGCTTCCAATTTAATCCCTTTATAAATCTGTAGCAAAAGTGCACTTTTAATCTATAACATATATTTTTCAATATTCTCTCCATCTTTCAAGTCAGGTATTATTTGTAAAAACATTATCACCAAATATACAAAATACAAGCTTAGCGTTCTCCTATGCTAGGTGGTTGCAACTGCCATCGGACGTGGGGGGCTTTGCCCATGGACTCTTCAGCTTCACCCCACCTGGGCCCACAACATGAGCGAATGGTGTGTGTCCACAGTGGATTGGGTTAAAGGTTTTTGTGGTTTTGCTTGGAGAAGATTTCTAGCCGAGAGAAAATTCACACATAATACCTAAATAATGCATAACTGCCAACTGGCTGTCAACAGCTATTCGTATTAGAGATGACAACCTTTGAAGAAAAGGTGACTCTTGCATATTGGACATAACATACCCACATCAGTTGCTTCCCTGAAGTAGTATGAATGCTGAAATGTGAATTCTGAAATCATTTAAAAACACATAGATGACATTATGTGTCACTAATGGAATGTCACTGGTAACCAAAAGAAAACAGCTACTGTAAGACAATGGCTGCAATCTTATAGCCTCCTTGGAGGTCCCAGGAAAGTTTGGTGTCCCCACTGAGGATCTACTCTTGGAAAGACAGTTCCGACTTCTCCCACCTCCCATGGAAACCTACAGAGCCTCTGATGCTCTGAAGGAGGCCAAGGCAAAAGCAAGCAAGTCTCTTTCTTCACAGACATTGTCCATGAGGCTTGGATGATGCTGCAGCAGATGGACATCCTTGCCCATCCTTGCAATGTAAGGGAAAGCTTTCCAATTAAAAAGTTAAACCAACAAATATGGACCCAAGGAAGCAAGGAAAACACAGCTTTTCTTTGCTGGCACAAACCAGGCAAACTTTGGGAAGCAGTAGCTTGCCTGCCCTTCAAACCCCAGAGTGAAAGCAAGAGCTCAGGTTTTGAAATTTTCTCAGTCAATTTCCTTCTTGCCAAATGCCAGCCGAACATGATTGAGGAAAGCTTTGGGACAAGCAGAGGTAACTTCAGAATAACTTCTCCCAAACAGAAAGCCCATTCTTATTTCCCTTTACGTGGACCAATAAAGAACTTTGTGCATTCCTCAAGGCCCACCAGGGGCTCCTGGGACTAGCTCATGTCATGCTTAAGTATGCTGGGAAGTTGTTGTAGGGAGGGAGAGGCATCAATGGTTCCCACACCCCAAACTGGTCTTTAGGTCATAGCCCAATCCAAGGTTCTTATAAACCTAAATAATTCTGGTAGAGTCTTCTCCATTGCACATTTTTTTCCTCTTAAGAATGCTTAGAGTTATAATACATGATGTTGGAAAATAGACATTAACTGTAATTCAGTCTTCCTAATACTGCCTTATTTTTTTCTCTGTTGAAGCAGCAACAGCAGAAATATGTACCGGAAAATGAAACGTGGGGAGCAGAAGGTGATCGTGTTAAGAGGAACCTTTTCCAAGGCACTGATGGATGTTAATTTGAGTGCTTTCTTCTTAACCCTCCCCTGAATTGTTTCCAAGGCCAAAATCATGAATATTATTTAAACTTTAATGTTTAGAGCTGTGATGTCCATTTACAACATGTTGATCCATGCCTAGAATTGCTTCTTACATGCAAAACTGAACACTAAATAGATCCTGTTTCAGCAGAGGGCACTTTTGGCTTAGAGAATAGCTCCAAGAAACTGTTATTTTAGTTTTTATGCTAGATGTGACCTCAAAAATTTACACCTATTTCTTTCCTGACTTCTACAGTATTGTGGTTCGGAGTCAAAATCTCTTTTTAAAAAGGATTAACAGATTTATAAAGCATATAAAAATTACTTTTCAAGGAAATTTTAAGAAAGAGACAAAGTGAAAAAAATGTAGAATAAATAGTGTTATCTGAAATAAAAGTGACATCTTTAACAAAATCTTCAATCCTGTAGAAACACCTAGTGTCCTTTTCCCATACAAAAAAAAAGTAAAAATTAAACCACGATGCTTCCAGTATGATTTAAGCTGACTGCAATCTTGAACTATCAAAACTGCAACTTTCATCAACTTTCTCCTGGATGTGTCCCAAAACAGGGTAGATACTGAGCAGAGACTGGAGGGGAAATAATTCTGTTAGAATACAGAAAAATGGCATTAACGGAAATCAAAGGAGAGTCTTAAGCCACGACTGAACAGTGAACGGATTCTACAAGGTTACTTTAAAAATCACTTCCTTGGTTCTTGAATAATTAAGCAGCCGGGTTTCAAGTAGAGGTAAAAGATTTTGGAAGTTAGCAAGTATAAAATAGCCTAGAAAGAAAATCAAAGCAAAATGCATCCTTGTTCAGGGCAGTTCTCCTCAAGGAAATGCACCACTTGATTTCCTGAAAATTGCCCACGATAACGAGGAGGAATTGATTCTGCTATCACTATGCTGTCCTTTCTGGGCACAGCCTTGATCCCTTCTGTTGTGCACAAGATGTTCTAAAAGTGTGCCATCTCAGTCTCTTGATTGGTAGAAGAGAATATATCCAGATTCTGAATTTTTGGAAATGTCTGAAGTCAATCCATAGAATTCTTCAATCGCTTGAGCGTCGATTTTCTACGATTTAAGGCAAGGAACAGATTAGTAGGGAGGGAGAATCAGCATCACTCTCCATTTCTCCTGGTCTAGCATTCTCATGCCCTGACTTGAAGCAGAGTTTTTCCGGTCTCTACTATGATGGGGGCCCTCTGGTCTGTAGAGGAAGCTTGTGTACCCTTCACTGAAATGTAATTGACATCAAAGTCAGGGGCCCTGGCTCGCCCCACTGAGAAGATCACCAAAAGGTAACGTGAGACCTTGACCTGAACAACGGATCATGCCCGACGGTCCAGAGCACGTTACCTCTTCCTAACAGGAAAGGCAGCGCTCTCCCACTGTTATTGGTGGACAACAGATGGACATAATAGGCAAAAGAAAAGGCCACTGTATTAAATTTAATATATCTGAAATACATTAAATATGCAATAAATCAATGTATTAAAAGAACCTTCTTGCTCTTTGCTGCTGGTAACGATTTCTCTGCAAAATCAGCCAAACGGCCTGCAGTCCATGGAGCTGAATGCATTTATCTGGCTCCACACAAAAATAATTAAAATTGGGCTGTTTTCATCTTGGCCCGAAGAAGAGGTGGGCATTCTCTGCCCAGTTTGCCTCTTCCAGAGGCAATGGGCTGATGTGACCTGTAATCGCTCAGTGTTCATATGGGATCCAACATTTTTCATCTGTCTAGTGAACAAGTGCTGCTAATCTCACCATATTCTCAATCTGTGACTTCTGCATTGCCTTCCACTTATGGCAGGGGTATCCACAGGATCAAAGCTCCACTAGGTTTTTACACACATTGCATATAAACACTTCACACTCTGTAGACAGCTTCAGGGTACTGATATCTGCTCTCAAGGTTCCTAGCCTTCATCAAACAAAAACACTGAATCACTAACACTTTTTTCTCCAGACCTGAGAGAAACTTTCATATTGAGCCCTGAAAAGTAAAACTGGCCCTTGTTTTTCTTCCCAACTCACTAATCATAGCTGTTAAGAAAAATTAACCAGGCTGCAAAAGGACTTATTGTGTCTATGTGTGTATGAGTTTCGGAGGTGGAGGAAATATAATATAGCTCCTTCCAATTTACTTACTTACTGGTAAAGCTATAAGCATCCACTGGGTGGGCAGAGCAACCAGCGTCATGGTGATTTATCTATCTAATTTTATTTATCTACCCATCTCTAGGAGCAAGAATGCTGCATGATTCAAAACTGTACTGTAAAAAAATTATGTCTTCACAACATCAAGCTTTGTAGTAGAAGTGTAGTTTTGCCTCACCCAAGACATGATCTTTTGAATTGGTTGGTCCAAATGTGAAATTTTGTATACCTCTGGTTTCACATTTCTGTGTGGAAAACATTTATCCCATCTGTTGCCATCAATCGAACGTGTAGTCAATCAGAGCCAAAGAAATCAGACAGATGTGCAGAGTCTAGCAATGTCTCCTTTTAGCTTCAAAAGATTTCTTATCTATAGCTCTGAGCCCAGACAATTTGGCTAAGCTAAACCATGGTTAACAACCTTGTCGCTACTCTGATGGACTACACCAGTCATCACCTGGGCAGAATGCTGCTGCTCAGTTATTAAATGGCGTGCAATTCTGGAGTCCTTTACACAAGTGTTTCTCAACCTCAGCAACTTTAAGATATGTAGCCTTCAACTTGGGAATTCTGGGAGTTGAAGTCCACACATCTTAAAGTTGCTGAGGCTGAGAAACATTGCTTTGTACCAAGCTCCATAATTTACCTGGCTCCTTTCTTCACTTCCTTAGACATCTGATGCTGCTGTTGACTTACCTGGTCCTAAATAGCCTGGGACCCTTTTCCAGTAAGCATCCGATTTTTGAGATCTTTGGAGGATACCTTGTCTTCCTTTGCTATGAAACCATCTTATTTGGACACTGCCCTAAGCATCTTGCAGCTCTTCACCCAAACCTTGGCAGGGAGACTAGACCTCTGAGTCTTCTGCTATACTGAATTGTTGCTGCATTATTCTTTGTTGATGTTATCTGAGGGCTTATTAGTATTGATTTATTGGGTGGTGGGAGTGGAACATTTGTTTGTATGATTGATTATGAAGAGTAGGTATTTATATTTAGTTACAAAAGAACAAACTGAAAATGGCTTTGATCCAAAGTTATACAGAAGCCCTGGAGCAAGATACAAACTTACCTCTACGATGTCATCATCGAATAGCAACCAAAACCCATGACTTTTCACAATGGTGATATAATGTCCGCGATTTGGACCACTGCAATGAAGGAGAGAGGTAATGTTAATGCTGGATATTGACACTTAGGCATCTACCTACAGTTCTCCTAGGAATTTTATCTTCAGAAGCCTCTCTGACATGAGTGGAAGTAACACTGGTTGTGCTATGGCTTATTTTCTGCCATGGCCACCTCTGATGAATCCTTGATCTTAGTAAACAGAGGAAAGGAAGGTTGGATGAGGACTCTATAGTGAAGTCATCTTGCCTGAGGGTTCAGGCCTGACCTGGGACAGAGCCACTCCCTTCAGGCACCTGATTCTGAAGCTCTCTCACAGTCCCAAGGGTGGTGTCCCCACGGAGTGGTGAAGCAATGAAAGGAACAGTGCAGTTTCCTTGGGAGTAAAAACCGATTCAGGAGTCAGGAATCTCTCCTGAATAGATGTTGATGAAGATTCTCAGTCATCCAGGTGGAATTATCTGGAGGTTGAGCCATGGCAACTGGTCTTCTTTTCTTCTGGTTTGATACGTTTCTCTGCTTGTCCAAGCAGCTACTTCAGTCTAGAAAGTTGGTTGGGGGGACCCCATAAATGTCTTCCAGGGTGGCTGCGTTTCTCACTAACATGATGAAGGGACAATAGGAGATGTGATTAGTAGAGTCTTTGGGATGTGGATGTCTTGCTCCTAAACCCTCACTCATCCCCAAGTGGGTTGTTAAGTGCTGCCTCCCTGGTGAACTTGTGAAGCGGTCTTAAACTTCCTGAGGACTGATTGTCCCTTCAAAGAGCCCATCATGTTAGTGAGAAATGCAGCCACCCTGGAAGACTTTTATGGGGTCCCCCTAACCAACCTTCTAGACTGAAGAAGCTGCTTGGGCAAGCAGCAAAATGTATCAAACCCAAAGAAAAGACGTCCAGTTGCCATGACTCAACCTCCAGACTCTCCTGAATAGACTTAGCTCCTTAAGGGCCAATAAGAACCACCACTCTCCCCATAAAAGTCATGGGCAACTCCCTATCACATGCTGGAAGCAATGTTGGTTCTGGGGTGCATTTTGGTGCTTGTGTGGCCAGGAAGCTCATCTAGATTTCTGAACTTTGGCCCACTCTCTACACTGGCTTTATGGCACTTCATTTGCTACTAGGAATCCTTGACTAACATTGATTTTCTTTACTGCCTTTCCACTCCTGTATCCATCTTTGGTTGGTTAGATGAGATTTGTCACTTCCATGCTACCCACTGGATAGGAAGTATAAGCATAATTTTAATGTGTTTTTTATCTTGTTTTTAAGTATCGTTAGCTGCCCAGATCATGAATTTAAGATGGCTGCCATACAAACTGAATAAATAAAATCAAAAGCCATCCATGAATAGCAGACTCTTCTCCAACACAAAGAAATATATGCTTTAGAGATCTCACCTACATCCTGAAATTTAATCCTAGACCTGTATTTAGGACATGTCATCCTAAATGATATGTGACAACCAAAGTCTTGCTTGTACTGGGCAGAGAGATTCAAACCTTGCGCTAGGCTATCCTGTGCAAATCCAGCCTTTCATGACTGATGGATTAGCATGAGGTGGGAAGCCAGCCGACTGTGGTTCAGTGAGCGAACCATGGTTACACAAATCATACTCAGTGTGATGTGGGAATTCAATCTATGACTGAGATGGAACTCTTGAGAGAGAGAATGATTCTATACTACAAACCTCTTCTACAAAAACTAATTAGGGAGGCTTATAACTTGGCACTGATAACAAAGCCAAAATTAATGGATGCAATAAACATTTGGACAATATGCAGCTTAGCCACCTGGTGGTGCTGCTATACAAAACCCTTAAATCATTTGGCCAAACTGCTTTAATAGCTTCTTTGTTCCAATAATAGCTTGCTTCAATTTTCCTTTGCAAAAGATGAAGTATCCTGCATCTGGTTCCTATAAATAAAGCAACATTTTCCATCAATGCACATAACTGATATACACATTTTAAAAATGTGTATATCAATTATACACTCAAGGAGCAAAAAAACGCAAAAGGTTCCTGTGTGCACATTTTCACTGTGTTCTTAGTTTTTACCACTGAAACAGTATTAAACCTTTACTTGCTAACATAGAACAGACTTCGGTCTCATCAACCGTCTTAAACACAACCCTGATCATCCTTCTCTACAAATCTAGTAAAGCTATCCCAGGGATGCAGACCCATACAAAATGGGGAAAGCTGGTAGAGCAAGGCATACCAGGCCAGACAATAAATGATAGGGAGGAAAAACTGGGCAGAATGGCAGAGGATTTTTCTTTATGTTTGCAACAGAGATAAAGGATCATGTAAGAGGCAGTGAGATTCAGGGAAGGAGGTGATCTGCTAAGAACAAACAACAGCTTACTGAGAACAAATTTAGCTTAGATGGTCCTCAAGGAGAAGGGGAAATTAATGGAGGGAGAGAGGATGAGAGACAAATCATAGCCCTGTCTGAAATTGCATGCAGTTGCCTTTGTAATCTTGACAGCTGATCTACCGCTTCCAAAAATGGGAATGCAAGCCCGAAACTGTTCTTTTGTTCAAGCTGGGGGTCTCCCTGAAGTTCACCTGCCAACTCAGGAGGCACCAGCGGGCAGTAACTCACCTATAACTTTTTTGGGCGCTTACCTGCCACAATGCACCACCACAGCCACGAGATCATACATTCGGTCTGGGTTTGTAGCATCCCCTGATGTGTTGAAGAGTCGAAGCTCCAGAGGAAAGACTACACGATAGGAAAGTTTGGTGTATCGGTGTAGCTGGTCCATGTATTTGAACCTTTTCAAGTGCAGAGCAAGAATCATAGGCAGCTTTTTCACTCGCATCCTTGATTAGCAATGTAAGAACAATGGAGAGAGGAAAAACATAATTTGGTGTGATTAATTTCACGGTTTGACATGATTCACAACATTTATTCAGGCTCCAATAACCACTGGATGTCACTGCTCTAAAAAGCTCCTTGCCCCACTGTGGCCCCAGATTACCCAAGCCTCTCCTGGAAGGAGAAATCAACCTCTGAACTACCTCAACGATTGCAGAAATGAGTTACTAGTCAACTCTGAATTTGAGGTTTTGTTCAGGAAAGAGCAAGGAAAGAAGCTTCAGCATTATGGTCATGTGTAAAAAAAAATTCTTTTAAAAAAAGCTGCAGAGTTAATCATGCAAAATAAGAAATGAACAGAATTATGAGAAGTGGGGGGGGGGGAAGAGTGATTTAGCCACCTTCTCTTCCCCATGTAGAAACTTCATTTGGGCATTCTTCACGTTTCTGAGACGAGGCCAAATGCTTCTGAATGCATCTTAATAGCTAGAAGAATTAGAAATGTCTCATTCATAAACAACAGAAAGATCCTGCTCAACTACGAAGAGAGGAGTTGATTGAGCACCTATCGCTTCTTTCTCGGCATAGCCTACCTTCCAAGTCTGTTGTAAATGTAAGGGGATCAAGAACCAAATTCCTTGGTGGGACCCAGAAATGTAATAAAAGTGCATCTTAGCCTCACCTCTTTTGTGCTTCCTGTTTACTGCGGCACTGCTCACAGTAGTACTTATATTCGCTGCATAGCGTCTCGGTGTTACTGAACCCCCTGCAAAAAGGAAGACTGGAGCAGGAGTTGCAATCATCAGGTTTTCCACCCCCGACCAGATTTTCTCAGGGTCATCTGTACAAAGCTCCCACATAGAGGAGGCCAAAGCAGCCTCCGTTTGCAGCGGGGAACTTAAATGCCATCCAGCACCACAAAATGGGCAGTTTAGAGGCCGAAGCTAAACTCGGTTCTATTTTTTCCCTCTGATGTGCACCCTTTAGGCCCCATCCCTCAATGACTCAGAGAAGGGGCTGTAAAAAAGAGCCACTTCTGATGACTTTATTTGACTGTGACCTTCCTGGCAAACATGAATTCCAATCAAGTAATGGCCGTTGATAATTTGTGTGTGGGTTTGTGCGTGCAAGATCACTTGATAGCACCATTATCACATCAAACAACTGGATCTACAGCGTGCGGCACAGTAATTCATGGATTTGCATCTGTATGACCGCCAAAGCAAGCAAATAACTCTCCCTGAAACCCCATTCCGGACTAGAACTGCTGTAAAAGGCAGAACATACATAGTTAAATAAAAATAAATAACACCCTAGGAAGTTATTTAATGTGTTAGTGTTGGCTTCGAGCTTCAGTGTCCCGGGGTTAAGTAAAGCATCCTTCTGCTTTGTCTGGCTGCACTTTTTGTTTCTGTTTAAACGCGTACCTCAAGCAGTGTGTGATTGATGTATTTTGTTCCACGTCAACCGATAGGTCCAGAAAGTCTTCATCTTTGCTGCTCACCTTGGAGGAAAGAAAAATGCAGGTTTTAAAATTTAGGAAACAGAATGAAGAACATACAACTGTGCACCATCTAATTCCTAGCGTTGCTCTCTGGTAAATCTTTCATCTTGGTGTAGGCTCCCAAACTGGTCACATTCCCTACATTTATTCCTAGGAAGCCGGCCAAGCAGCGGACTTTATGTCTGCCTTCATTACAGTTCCAAAAAACCAGTGACAACTATTATGATACAGAGGCAAAGACTGCAGGTTACTAGACTCTAACTCAGTGTTTCTCAATCTCAGCAACTTTAAGACGTGTGGGCTCCTCATGCTGGCTGGGGAATTCTGGGAGCTGCAGTCCACACGTCTTAAAGTTGTTGAGATTGAGAAACACTGCCCTGCCCCATCAATCCCAGCATTTTTGCAGTGCAGACATGCTCTGAAAAAGGAGGAGAGAGAAAAGTTATGGTTAAGAAACTGAATCCCATAATGGGTGCATTTGGAAGCCACACTCTCTCCCCCCAAGAATGTAGTCACTATAAATGTATGTTCTCTGGTTAGGTGAGGGCAGAATTAGCACCAAACCCTCAACTAACTAGCTTCCTGGTTGGGGTGCTGGAGATCGTAGCTGTGCACACCTCAAGCCAACCGCCTGGCTTAGCAGGACACATGAATGGACTCAGATAGGGATGTGCAGTACTTCAGATCCAAAGCTGAAAAAGCACTCTGGGGAGGGCTTGGCACTCTGTCAGTGCCTCCTCTAGTCAACCTACCAAGCAAGACCAGGAAAAGTGGCTTCTTGGAGGAGATGCGAACCAGACACTCATGTCCACTCCAAAGCTTCAGATCCAAAGTACTGCATGTTCCCAAATCAGTACTTTTAAACTGAAGAATGTAACAGGGCATCTATTTCAATACTCTTAAGAACAAGAACTGAGACAAAGAGTGGGGCAGAGTTATTAACTTCATGCCCTACTTTGGGCTTCTTGACAGCAGATGGCTACCAGTTATGGCAGGAAACAAGCAAGGAATCTCTGCTCTGAAGACTGTATTGCAGTTTGGGCTTAAAGGCAGTCAATGACCGGCTCAGACAACCTTCTCTAACCTTCTCGGTCTCTTTGGAGGCAAGAAAACTGCCTGCTGTCTTCTTCACGCAATAGAGGCTAGTTGCAGGCAAGCAGCTGCACCCACCCAGAAAGATCCTCCAAGGCCATAGCAAGACATCACACGGTTCCTGCAACTAGCAATGCCACTGTACTGCAGCAGTGAAGATGGGATGAATGCCCAACTCTAATCTGCCCTCCTGCCCTTAAAAACTGTTAGTCAAAGAGGTGCCCTATTTTAGCCCTGAAAAGTTT